ATTCTGGGCATCTTTGCCCGCTACGAGTATGGAGCCTTGAGATTTTCTCCCAGCAGAGCCTTGCGTTTGATGCAAGGAGGCCAATCAGGAAGTTGGATAGACCGAAGCTCACAGAGACAATCGTGTTCATGGCCCCGATTGAGTTTCCATTCACAGAAAAACACGAAAGGATCAACAATGCATTTGAAGGCATGAAGATCAGGGACCGCCAAGAGGGACATTTTTGAAGTCACCAATGGTGGAGAGCCTTGAGAAGATGATCTTGGTGACTATGAACCTTCAGAGCCTGACATGCTGAGACATGAAGACATCGTCGAGAGAGCTACTGATGAGGAAGGGGACGAAGCGCCAGTTGATGTTGTAGGTGAAGATGAAGGCGATGACGATCCACGACCTGATGGAGGACATGTGGCGATGCACCGCCTACCGGTCCGAAGTCCAAGAAGAAGACACCAAAACCAGGGGACGACCGCGCGCCTCCTCAAAATACACCACCGTAGACCCCAAACAGGTTAGACAACAACACATTCCCAAGTCCACTTTTTGAGACATCAACAAGAAGGGAGACACGGTGGACACAGTGACCAACAAGAAGGAAGACAAGAAGGGAGACAAAAGGAAACAGAAAGAGAGACAAGGCTCACACAATGACCAACAAGAAGGGAGACAAAAGGAAACAACAGAAGGGAGACAAGACGAACACAATGACCAACAAGAAGGGAGACAAAGGGCAAAAGAAGGGAGACAAGACGGACACAATGACGAACAAGAAGGGGAGAAGACGGACACAGTGACCAACAAGAAGTGCAAGAAGGCAGACGAAAGGAAAAACGGGAGATAGGACAAACACAATGACCAACAAGAAGAGAGACAAGGAAATGCTGCATGGCCAGCGGAAAAGGGCCAGCAGTGACAGAAAGGGCGGACACATCATTACCCCACCGTAGGCCCCAAACAGGTCGACAACGACGAAGCATCCCCAAGCCCACTTTTTGAGACATCAACAAGAAGGGAGACAAGAAGGGAGACAAAAGGAAACAGAAGGGAGACAAGACAGACACAATGGCTGACAGACCTGGGAGACACATGAATAGAAATGCTGCATGGCCAGCCCGGAAAAAGGCGGACACCAGCAAGAAAGAATTGAGAACCCCTAACAGTAAACTGTTTGGTGAAAAAATCTCTTCAACGCAGAAAAGGCAAACCTTACAAGGTCGGAAGTGATGGAAGAAGCTTCTTTACATCATCCCCGAGGCCGAGACCCAAAATATACACCAGAAGAATGGAAGGCCTTATCTTATCATTTGCCGACAGAGCCATCGCAGAGAAGGCAGAAGCGATCGAGAAAGAGAAGTTTGCTGAGAAGGATTGAAAGAAGAAGAGGGGGAATGAAGAAGATCCAAAAGATATCTGAATCACCTTCATCAGCATCCACCATGTCCACCGATTTGCCAAGTGATGACGATCACTTGGTTTTCCGAACAAGCTCACCACGAAGCAGCTCGTCCTCGAAAAGCCAAAAGAAGCGATCGCTGGGGGAAGGGAGAAGGACACAAACATCAGGAAGCTCGAAGGTATCGTCAACATTGCTGATCCCAACATCAAGGTACCATCGCAAAAAGAGAGAGATCTTGCACGTGGTTTGCGGGTCCTTCACGCCAGTCGACGGAAACGTTTTATGTCCAGCGTGCGTGACGCTTACGCCAGGAACATTCTCCATTTGCCTGAACTGCGTGGGAACTTTCTTGAGTTGCGGCGCGGTGACACTTTTTCGGCTACAACACCGACTCCCAATGATGATGATGATGATGATGGTGATAAAGAGGAGGAGGAGGAGGAGGCGGACGACGACGTGGAGATGGTTCAAAGAAAGAACCCAAAGATCAGAACAAAGACATCAAAACTCAAGAAATGCGGACTGAGATCAAGGAAGAGTTGAATGCTCCAACCGAGATAGGTTGAGAAGTCGTTGTTCTTGCATATCTTGATGGTGATTTATGGAATCGTGGACCAATTGCGGTCAAGAATCCCAAGACAGCAGCAATGGATGAGGAGCTCTACAGACAATCCCACATTCCTGAAGAAGTTGGCTATGACAGGGATTCAGATGGACAGCCTTGAGGCCATCAAGAAAAGTGCCTATCGACATGCTGAGCGACCTGACGATGTAGCCACAGATACAGATCCCACCAGGACCGGACCAGAGTCGTCAGCAAGAAGAAGAAGAAGGTGATGATGATGATGATGACGATGATGATGATTGGTATTGGTACGCAGGTTGGGGTCCAGGTCATACGATCCTGATGACAGGAAGGACTATGCTGATTTGCCAACATGGTGTCAATTGCCAGAATCCATCCCATTCGATCAAGCAGAGATCTCAGCATGCGACGATATCGGCGTCGAACTCTCAACGTTGGTGGACAGATACCTGATCAGGTGTGTATGTCAGATCATTGTGCCAGTGTATCGCTCCTACCGACTTCAAGCAGGTATGTAGAAACGCTTGGATGTATTCTCAGACTACACACCAGGTCTACCACGCTTCGCCAAAGACTTGTCAGTGACAATGAAGAGGTCATGGACCCTACGGCCCTACGGGTGATCAGATGCATATTTTCGCCCAACGATATAGCATCGCGATGGAGGACGCTTGGCATAGATTCAATGGCGGGAAACTTCTTGTCAGATTGGCTCTCCAGATGTTTGCAACGGGCTACGCCGGAGACACCTTCAAAGCAGGGTTTGGCGATCACAAAAGAATTCTAACAGAGGATGAGAAGACAAGCAAACCCAGAAAGATGCCCGAATTGGTGTGGAAATGCATCAAGACTATCTATGATGTCAACACCTATAATACGCATATTTCCGCTATGACCTGTGGGATCGTGAAAGACACAAACATTTAGATCCTTTGGACGTTCTTTATTCCAGAGCACAAAACAAATGGGACAGTGTGATTCTGATTGCCTATGCGCAAACAGGATATTCATTATTCATTTGCTTCCCACAGCCAGTGAACACTTGAAGAAGATTGCAAAGACAATGGTTGTGGGACTCATGCTGCCGAAAGACATCAACGAGAAGTTCAACCAGCATCAGATGAGAATGTGCCATGGGCGAAGCCATCAGCTGCGCCGGAAATTTCTTCTCAATCTGGTCCGCGTACTTCCTCATCGTTGTCATGGCAACCAACACTCAATCCAAAAGGCGCAGGAAAGAGTGAAGCTCCGAAAGCAAAGCCACAACCACGCTCCAACCGAGCGGAAGAAGACAAACAAAAGTGGCAAGGATATGGGTCGCGATGGTATGAAAGGAGACGGCAGATTGTCGGACATCTTACCCTCCTCACCTTGCTAAACTTCATTATGCTACTACCGACAGTTGATGCCACAAAGGGCGTGTTCACCGAGCCATCCATGATGCTCAAGTTTGGAACTACAGTGCCTCCTGACGAGGATCTAGCGCAGGTGTTTCTGAGCGCGTCTTATTCAACTACCTTTTGCGTCCAACTCTTCTTTGCGTAGTGCGAAAAGATATATAAAGTCCGCTTAGCTCTACCAGACTTTGTAGTAGAGATTCAGGATCTTGCGGCAAACTTTCATAATCTGCACCAAGCACTACCCTGAATGAATCAACAGCAACCTTGCATGGGGGTGCCAATGGAAGTGCACTAGGAGCAGTACAGTATATCTAGGCAATTGTGTATAACATATACAGCCACCGCGACCGCCAAATCACCTTTTGGCTCAAGCACCTATTTGAGGAAAATTGCGCACGACATCCTTCATTGATGTTCACTACAAGTTGTTGGTTAACACCCGCACGTGTCAAGAATAGGAATGTATACATGCCGACAGCACGGGCGCCCGTCACTGAGTTTAACCCAGCTTGGCAACCAGGTAGCAAATCAAGCATTCAAAAGCTGCGCCTACATGTTTTGGGCTTGCTGAATTCCAGCGCCCGAGCCAAATCCAAATCAGTTTGTCGAGTGCAAGCGGGGCTGGGGAGGGTGAACGCGAGTTGGGGGCAGGAGATGGGGCGAGTATGGGAACTGCCATGCTGAAAGCGCATCAAGACTGCAAAAATGTTGCTGCCGGTGAAAAAGCGTGCTGCTAGGTACACACATATTATGTTCCTTGCTGCGTCGCAACGGCGCTTGCTCGGGCAGGTGGTGTGGTTCCTTCCTGCGCTAAATTTTGCAGTCTGCTACTTTGGATTGCCTCTTTGTTGCTCAAAACATTTTGTCTACTGGTGACCATTTACAAATGGAAAGGGGCGCTGGAATGACTTCCTGCTCTGACTCTAAGTTTTACGTTCGGGTGGCCAGAGCAGGAAGGAACCAATCCGAACTAGCACACCTTTCGTGGACCCAACGAGCCATTCGAACACAGCGCAACTATGCATAACTCGTTTAAACCGCCCGAGGTTAAAATATCGAGCAATATTTGGGTTCATGGAGGCATAACCACATAACTAGCTAGCTTAGTGAGGCAAGCAAAAGATCCGGGACATGTCTTGGAGACACAAGCGAGCTGGACAAATGAATCTTGAATTAGGTGCGCATGGCGCATACCTCTCGCGATGAGATTGCTTTCACTTACACTCCTGGTTTTGAGGACGGAGAATCTCGCAATGCGACCACCGTTGTCACTTCCTACACCACCCTACAGCTTCCAACTGGGACAAGACAGAACAGGAGACTGTTTGGGGCAGCGCCCGCAAGTGCGCGAACACAAAAGAATGGTTTTGCGATGTTTTGTGAGCGATTCACTTGGCCAGTTGCTAGAGTAGATATGGTTAGATGTTATTTGCATTTGTTAGATGCTATCAGTATCAGATGGTTTCACGCGAGAATGCAAAACTCAGCACGCGCTTGCGGTGAAAGGTGGGTTCCTCCCTTTGCGCGCAGGATTATGGTGTGATGGTGCGCGCGCGTGCGCGTGACATGAGCACATTGAGACACCCCGTGTGTGGCAGTGAAGTTGTTTCAGTTGCAGGTGTCCTTCTTCTTCTTCCTCCGAGGGCTATTGAACGGAACACAGATGCCATAAGGAGAGGCTGGGCCTCAAAAAGTTCCACACAGTTTTCGCGTTCAACTTGCAAGGCCAAGGCCAGTTGAGGGCGATGTCTGGCGTTGTGGCGCATTTTGCTCGCAACCATGGCCTTTTGTTGCCACGCTAGACCGATAGACGTACGCGCCTTGGGCAGAAACATTGATACTTAAAGGCATCTTATTTGAGCCTTCGATTGACGGGGGGGCTACCGGTGGTGTTTGTGCGAGGCACCAAAGATAGTTATATATTTTGTAGGTTTTGGATTTCTTACATCACCCAGCCAGACCAAGCTCAAGGGGTGGACTGAAAGCAGCTGTAAGAATGCAGGTACTTTCAACGCACACCCTTCATCCAAGAACATCCAGTGTAACATGCAGCTACCCAGGTTGCAGAAACCACCTTTGCTTTGGACAGGTGGCTCGCTTTCGGAGTTTGGGAGAAGCATCACAAAAGCTCGTCTTTTGTGAAGCGGGTACGTATGTGCTCTGTGTGTGTGCTGCTGCGTTTGCTTTCACCAGCGTGCCCTCACGTGTCACACGCCTGCTCTTTTATGTGGCCATTTGCGCGCTCTCTCTCTCTCTCACACCTGTGCTCTCACCTGTTCGATTTCAATTGCATGTGTGGTCACATGCGGGCTCAAACGCACACACACACTCTTATATGTACACTCTCACCCGAGTCTCCTTACACATGTGCCCATGTGTGTGGGTCCCTCTTGTGCACGCACACCGGCGTGCTTTCACACTCGCGCTCCAGTACATGTGCTCTCATGTCTGCGCTCTCTCAGACCTGCGCTCACACATACTCTATGTGCTGTTTACTTCAAAGAACTGCAGCGTACAATAATGTACAGCACCCCTCTCATAAGGTCAGATATGCTCCATGTGTTTTGCTTTACTTTTGGCTCACTGTGAGAGTTGTGCTTTATGTCTTGTTGCTTTTGGGGTTGCCTGGAACCACTTCAAGTGGTTATCAGCCGTAGGGCTCTGATTGTTGGTGGCTTGCCCTTTTGCAACTTTCATCACTTGTAGCCTCCCTGCCCTTTGAAGGGCTTCAATGGATGAGGAAGAACCCGGGCATCGCGGTATCAGGGGTGGAGCTACCGGTAGCGCCACGCGTCGTCCTGAGGCGTACATCAGGAACGTTGCCGAAGATCAAGGGATTCGGATTCCTGAGTCCGAGGCTGCAGTTTTTCATACAGGTGGATTGAGTCGAGTCGGCCGTTGAACACTACACGTTGCTGGGAGGTGGAACGCAGTGAATCCGAAAGCTAAGGTGAGTGGGAAGAGGAGGTCGTTCTGCCTAAGGCACGGCCCCTGAGCCTCGTCAAAACCGAGCTGATGAGGCTTGCGCCCAGGAGCTCGCTGCTGCTGCTGCCGCTGCTGCTGCTTGTGACTTGGGGATCCTGTTGAGGAGGAAGCTGTGATTGAGGAAGTTGTTGCTGAACCGGAGGATTTGTGATTGAACCGAGAGCCGCTGCTACAGCAATCAAGTTCACCCGTTTTCCCTTCCAAGCCAAGATCATCAGTGACCCCAGCGCCGGCTGCCAAATTCGTTCCCATTGCTAATCCTCCGCCAGTCCCGAAAGGTCCTCTGCCTAAGGCAAGGGATTTGCGGTTGGCGTCAAAAGGGCCAACAACCATCTCCAGCACCAGTGAGGTTGAAGAGAGTGAAGTTGAAGCATTGGACGGAGCGCAGGCCCCGCTTCACCCAAGTGTGGCTATCTACAAGTTCGTTGGCAGTCGTTTGAGTCGCGTTGAGAGTGTTACCCGACTTCCAACACCGCGTCACTTTCAATTTCCATCAAGCTTGGGGAATCGAGGCATCGCAAGACCTATCAAAGTGAGACTGGAATATAAGGACAGCCTCAGAGCTCCATGATTTGTCCAGCCGATCTGGTGGCTTTGTTGACCTTATGGTGTGTTCCCATATTGGGAGATCACGCGCGCCCAGTACTGCGGTTTGGTTCTCAATTATTGAAGGTCACACCTGTTCGACTTCAGAGCGCATCAGGGCTTGCATCCAGTCTCCTCCCTAAGAACCAAACACAGGACATTCGTAATGTTATTTGCAGAGTTGACCTTGCGCATGGCTCTATAAGAGTTTGTGCGGACATCCCCAATCATCTGCTCACTGGCAAGCTCATCTGTCAAACATTCTTCATGGGAAGTTGAATGGAGTAGAGTTAGAGTTTGCCTTCCGTTTTACACTTTGGCCAGTCTTTGGTCATATCACTTGTATGCTTGTGACTTAACACTGTCAGGAGTGACCTCAATGCACAATGAGTTTGGGCGCACGCTGGACAACCTGGAGATCCCTCAACTGAGTTCGGTAGGGGCTTGGGAAGAAACCATCCTCTTGTGTTGGTTGGATGGTATGGTAGGAAAGCACTCGCTAAGCAATGTGTCCAACTCTCTTGCCAATTGGCGAACAGGCCAGTCAAGAGCTTTGCACTTATGTTTCGCCAAGGGAGGCCGTGCTGCTGCTGGTGTTGCAGGAGAGCATGATGACGAGGAATTGCGGTCATCAGGGTCAGCTGGTGGTGGCAACCCGTGCATAGCGCGGCCTGCAAGCAGAATGCCGAAGTATGTGCCTAGCTACAGCTACAACACAATTGCAGCTGGCAAATCCATGGAATTTCTTCGGTTCCTTTTTCATTGATCTGCGATCAATTGCTGTAAGACTGGTTGACTCTAGGAGTGCATTTCAATGGAACTCTGGCGCTCTACTGTGAAGCTTTCAAAATATGTTAAAATATAGCGTCCATCTGCGGTCCGATTCAAAAAGCCTGCAGGTGCACTGATAAGCCAGGGCTTGTAGCAACTGCTCAAAGACACCATTGCAGCAAAAAGAAAAGCTCGGATGACTGAAATATACACATAGCTACAAATCAATTGTGAACGCGTCGCCTCTCCCAAAGCAAGTCATCCAGCCACACTCCTCTGTCCGTTCAAGCGAACCCATAGGACATGAGTTGCCTGAGATGGGCGCAACCCCATCGTCCGCACGCGCCCCAAGCAACGTATCCACGCGCGCCATCGTCATCCCACCTAGTGAAAGGCTATTGGTTTCAGATGCGGTGGCCGTTCCATGGTGGATATATTTCCAAAGGGGGCAGCGAGGCTGCGATTGCACTTCCACGTAGGACGGAAAAAGAGCAATCAACAACCCAGCCTCAACAGCATTTCTATGCATTGTCTCCCACAGGTCTGTCAGCGCTGGTGTCCGCCCTTTTCCGCTGGCCATATAGCATGTCTATTCATTTGTCTCCCAGGTCTGTCACTGGCGGTGGAAAAGGGCGGACACCAGCAGTGACAGACCTGGGAGACAAATGAATAGAAATGCTACATGGCCAGCGGAAAAGGCGGACACCAGCAGTGACAGACCTGGGAGACAAATGAATAGATCTCCAAAAGGCCCCCTGTATTGCTTGAGGCTGAAGTAACCATGCAAAAACACAACGCCTCATTTCTGGCAATCTTCGAAGACAGCACCTCTGCGACAGCAAATATTGCGAAGGATATACTCCCCCAAGCCTCGACATCTCGCCAGGACACAGGGTTAACGTCGCATCAACCTGTGAAGTGCTCAATAGCTCAGAAGACATTGGTATCAGTCAATAGCTCAGTCGCATTGATGTGCTCATGAAGGGTCTCTCAACTCAGAAATGGCCTGCTGCATTGAAATTCTTGCAGTATGCCACCCAGCCTTTGCCTTCGGTTAAACCAGGTAAGGACTAAAGCATCTAAGATGCCTCAGCGCTGAGAACTTGCAGAACTTAAGCTTTGTATATTGAACCTGCTCGAATGAAAGGGTCCTCGCACGCATGCCGCATAGCCTGTATAGCGCACAGCCTGTAGGAAAATTCAATCAGGGTACGTTTGGCTGCGTTAGCGCTTCTGCCTACTGTTCGCTCGATACAACGAATGTATTGTCAGGTCACAAATGGTTTGTCTCGTCGCCTAGAATACGAAGCTGCAAGCCAACAGCCTTTCGCCATGAGGGGGGGACTTGAAAGAACTGCAGCAGTGTACAGCACTCCTCTCATAAGGTCAGACATGCCTCACGTGCGCTCTCACGTGTGTGGTGTCGCTTGTGCTCTCACATGCGCGTGTTTGTTCTTTTGTTTGGCTTCATTTTCGTGCTCTAGAGTGGGGGAGCTCGCTTAGTCTTAGTCACCTGCTTCTTGTTCCACCAACCACGAATTAGGGC